CGCCCGGCCGCCCACTGCTCCGAGGCGCCGCGAGAAGTGCGCGCGCCCTGCGTGCGTGGAGTTGCCAGGGACACAGCGGCGGCTAGGTCGGCCCTTTGTGTATTCCCAAACAGAGGGCGCACCTGTCTGCTCCCCTCCCCCCGGCCTCTTCTGGCGTTTCCATGGGGGTGGCTTTAACGGCTTAAGCAGAAAATAGAGCTAATTGGCGAGGTCTCCTGGAACTGGCACCGTGCAGGACGACACAGGCTGTCCATAAATCAACCGTGGACTGCTGATTCCTATTAGAAATTAGAAGTACAGCTCCCTCGCTATGGCAAGAATCATCTTCGCCATAGCGAGGCCTTTGCCACAGACTTTGTTCACTTTGCCCTTGTAGCTGCGCACCCCAGCACAAAGTGATATCACTGGTCAGAACAAGTTAGAATATTTTTTCTTAAAAAATTCGTCCTGTAATTGCTTGATAACATGCTGGATTTGCCATGTCTACCAGCAGAGGCTTCCAACTCAACTTTCTACCCTTCAAAGTTGAATGACACGTCATGCTTTAGAACCCAGAATTTATCCAGCGTGTTTGTGTGACACCAGAATTCACTTTGATAAAATACAACCGCATCTGGTGTCCTAATTATCAAAATACATGGTTAATCATAAACTGGACTCCAGTCGTGAGAAAAGTGTAGGGTTAGCATAGGTTTAGACATGTAGTTAAGTGAACTCTGGAATGGAAGCAAGGCTGGCCAGATGGTGAGAATTCAACGCAAATTACTGAAAATTCTGTTTTAGAAATTTGTTTTCAATACTTTGGGTGCAAGCAGTTAATGACGCCTGGATTTGGTTTCCTCGGTGCTTCTAATTTTGAATTCTTAATGTTTAAAGAGTCTATGTCTAATTGTGCTGTTTTTCAAGAACACAAAAGTTACTGTGACCTAAATCAATTTCTTGCCCCAATATTAAATTTTGTACATTTTGTAGAGAAACAGTTTGGAATCACTTTTTAGAAAAATCTAGTTTCAAGTCAAACCTATTGCTTTTCTTTCTTTAAAAATAATTATTTTGCATATATATGTTTCTCATTTCACTCAAAAAGAATTACGCCAAGTTTGCTATTACCTACAACATGGCTTGTTTTTTTTTTAACATGTTTTGCCTTTTAATGGGACTCCCTGCTCAGCAGGGAGCCTGCTTCTCCCTCTCCCTCTGCCCCTACCCACCCCTCTCATTCTCGATCTCTCTGTCAAAAAAAAAAAAAAAATCTTAACATGTTTTGCCTTTTAAACCCACAGAGGAATTCAAAGTAAAATCAAAACTGTAGAGCTTAATTATTGAATTCCTAAAATGAGTAGGTTCTATAGGATTAATTTTATAAGGAGCAGACTTTCTGGTGTGCCAAAAGAAAACTATGCCTTTTCTAATATTTATTTTTATATTCCTTCAATAAGAATTTCTAAAGCTAACCTCATGTTCAATGTGTATTTATGGGGAATCTACTGTATATATCATGTTAAGATTGCATCGCTTAATATCTTGAGGCCATATTGGAAATGTATATTTCCAGGAACTCACATTTGAAATTTTATCAACCCTTGTTTTGTAGTTGAAATGTTTCAGACACCCAGGTGGCTCAGTCATTGAGCATCTCATTTTTGATTTCCTCTAGGGTCATGATCTCAGGGTCCTGAGATGGAGCCCTGCATTGGGCTGTGCGCTCCAAGGGGAGGGGGGAGTCTGTTTGAGATTCTTTCCCTTTGCCCCTCCCCCTGTGTACACACTCTCTCTCTCTTTCTCTAAAATAAATAAATAAATCTTTTTTTAAAAAAGGAAATGTTCATGATTACATTGCTTTAATTTTTTTCAAATACAAAGTTTTCTCACTTTTATGTGCATAATAATTTCATTTGGGGTGGCTGTGTTTCAAAGCATATTTTTTAAAGCTTATCCATATTTTAATCTTATTTAAATGTGCTTACATATATATTTTTTAATAAAGTAATATTACCATCTTCTAAAGCTCCAAAATTCCTTTGAATACTTTGAAAAGGAAACCAGATACATCCTTTATTGTACCTAACATGTCTTTATTTTCCATTACAAAAATTTAATTCACTGACAATAGTATAATCAAAATAAGAGTGTACATGATCATTTAAATGAGTATTCTAGTATAGAACCTGACACAAGTGTACTTTCAATATTTTTAAATGAATTTATTAAATACTAAGAAAACAGAAGCCTTTATCAGAATTCATCAAAATTCTATGTTGTCTTCTAAAACTGTGGTTTGTTATCAGAAGTATTAGAAGAATAACACATTTCTGGTGTTTTCTACATTTGACATCTTGCCAAAATTACTGTTCTCACTCCTTCTGAATGAGTGAAGAACAGCCTCACTATCAACTGGCTGCTTTTGGTTCCAAAATTAGAAATGAAACACCTGTTGTATCTGACCCTGGGCCTGTTTAAGGAAATCCTTTAGGTATTTAGAGACCTAATCCAAGTCAGACCCTCTGTATGCCAAATCCCCAAATATAGCTCACTGTTCAGACAAGGTTAAAGGGTCCTATGGCTTTAAACTGGACCTTAATTTACAGAAACTCACTTTCAAAGGACCTTGTTAATATTAACTTCTGAAACTTTTTAAGAAACCACATCTGATTGAAAATGTTCACTCTGGGGGCGCCTGGGTGGCTCAGTCGTCAAGCATCTGCCTTCGGCTCAGGTCATGATCCCAGGGTCCTGGGATCGAGCCCCGCATCGGGCTCCCTGCTCCGCGGGAAGCCTGCTTCTCCCTCTCCCACTCCCCCTGCTTGTGTTCCTGCTCTCGCTGTCTCTCTCTCTGTCAAATAAATAAATCTTTAAAAAAAAAAAAGAAAGAAAATGTTCACTCTGAGGAAGAACAGCATTTGTGAACAGCAAAAGTGAAGAACTCTTTTTTTATCATTATTTTTTTTAAAAGATTTTATTTATTTATTTATTGGAGAGCGAGCGAGAGAGAAACAGCATGAGAGAGGAGAGGGTCAGAGGGAGAAGCAGGCTCCCCGCCGAGCCGGGAGCCCGATGTGGGACTCGATCCCAGGACCCTGGGATCATGACCTGAGCCAAAGGCAGTCGCTTAACCAACTGAGCCACCCAGGCGCCCTTTATCATTATTTTTTAAGTGATCTCTATGCCTAAGGGTGGCCCAAACTCATGACCCCAAGATCAAGAATCACATGCTTTGCAGAATAAGCCAGCCAGGCACCCCAAAAGTGAAGAACTCTTTAAACAGACATTTTTTAAAAGATTTTATTTATTTATTTGAGAGAGAGAGAGAGCGCACAAGGAGGGGGAGCAGCAGAGGGAGAGGGAGAAGCAGACTCCCTGCTGAGCTAGAGAGCCGAACATGGGGCTCGATCCCAGGACCCTGGGATTATGACCTGAGCCTAAGGCAGATGCTTAGCCGACCAAGCCACCTAGGCACCCAAAGACTTGTGGTTTTAAAAGATTTTTGCAAGTAAGCCTCTGATTCTATGCCCATTTCTGTAGTAACTTGAAATATAAGCCTTAACAAGGTCCTTGATGAATCTTTTAACTCTTTAATACTACACATTCTTAAGTAATCCAAGATACTTTAACACAGCACAAATTATTCAGTTGTTCTACGTTTTCCTAGCTCCATGGAAAGGGTCAAATGAATAGTGGAGGTGGGACACCTTCTCCTAAGACAGCAAATATTTCTTCTTACCACAGGAAAGTGTTTCAAGATCACACTCTGCTAGCCCTGACAGAAAAAGGAAGCCACTCTCCTGTAGTTAATTAAAAAAAATTTTTTTGCTCTGGCTTAATATCTCTCCAGATTAATTCAAGAACTTACAAAAAAAAAAAAAAGAGAAGGAAGGAAGGAGGGAGGAATGGAGAGAGGGAGGATAAATGGGCGTGCCCCTGGTGCCAACTGACAAGCAAGTACCAGGTGAGCAAACCTAGAGAAGGATCTTGCAAGAAGTTTGGTTGGAGATCCCAAGAGCTAGAGTAGCTTCGTCCTTTCCATCCTGCCCCTCCCAGGCTCCACATGAGGAGCATCTTCCACTGGCCATTTTAGTTAACTACCCCAGTGCTTTGCTGCTTGACTGCTCTGTAAGACTAAAGCAGGTGTATGCCATGAGACCCTTGCCCAG